ATTTCTAAGCCCTTATCTAGGTGCAGCGGTGAAGCCAGCAGACTTCACTTATCACACTTTCCTGCAATAAGCAAACCCCAATTACAAACCATCCAGACTGCACAGGGGGAGGTTGAGCGAAGCATAAACAAACCATGCCTAAACCCTCCCAAAGACCTCCCTCACACTCCCCTCCTCAATATAAACCCCTCATTCTGTAAGCTTGGTGCTGCCTCCTCTGTCTGTGGTGGAGCAGCCGGCAGGTTAACAAACTTCCTCGTCTGACCTTGGGTTTCCTTCTCATCGTTTCTCTTGGCTGACCTTACAGGGAAGGCCACAGAACCAGCGTGGAAACTACACATCCAGGAACAGAATCCACAGTCCACACTGGATCAGGTCCCTCCTGGGAGCAACTGCCCCTGCTGCTGAGCACAGACGCCACTGCTCACACCTCTGACACCCTGGTGCTGGACACTGGACCCCGAGGCCAGGAGAGATGTCACTGCTGCACCTGGAAACTGGACATCACTACTTCCATTCAACCACTTCTACTAAAATACATTCTGCACAGTCCCAGCCTCTGTGTCACCTCTTTCTGTCTCAGAGTCTGGCAGTGATATAGGAGTTGAGAAGAAATTATTTCGGCAGATAGTGAGGATATGGAAGTCCTCCGTAAGGTTTTTTTAAATGAAATACAGCCCCCAAATCATTTCCTTTTCTAACAAAGAGCATCCTGTAAAATTACTACATGTAACAAGAGAGATAGACTGCAATACAATTAGAGAGGAGACTTCAACATCCCAACCTCAGCATGAGACTGATCGTCTACACAGAAAATCAAGAAAGAAACATTGGATTTAAACTGAACTTTAGACCAAATAAAGATAACAGATATTTACAGAGCACTTTATTTAACACTACAGAATATACACTCTTTTCATGAACACGTGGAACATTTTCCAGGAGAGAGCCTATGTTAAGCCACAAAACAAGTCTCAACAAATATTCAAAAATTGAAATCATATCAAATATCTTCTCCGGCCACAATGGAAAAATACTGGAAATATACACCAAGGGAAAGTTTGGCAACTAGACAAATATATGGAAATTAAACAACATGCTCCTGAATAATCATTGAGTCAACAGAGAAATTCAGATGGAAATCAAAAAGTTTCTTGAAACAAATGAAAATGGAAACACAACATACCAACGTTGTGTGATACAGCTAAACAGGGCTAAAAGGGAAGTTTATAGCAATAAATACCTATTTAAGAAAAGTAGAAACATTACAAATTAACAATATAACACTGAACCTCAAGGAACTAGAAAAGCAACAAAGCACATCCAAAATTAGCAGAAAAAGTAATAAAGACCAGAGCACAACTATATAAAGACTTTTAGAAACCATGTAAATGATCAACAAAGTGAAAAGTTTGTTCTTCAAAAAGACAAACAAAAGTGATATACTACTAGCTGGACAAACCAAGAAACAGAGAGAGAAGACTCAAAAGAAAAGAGAAATATTACAACTGATACCGCAAAAATACAAAAAGATCATCAGAGACTTTTATAAACAATTGTGTATTGACAAACTGGAAAACCTGGAGGATATGGATAAATTCCTGGAAACATAAAACCTAGCAAGACTAAATTAAGAAGAATAGAAAACCTGAAGCCCTAACATCCAAACCGTTCAGCGGGTCCAATGGGCCCCTGACTACACTGTGATTATTTCCTCAGCGCTGGTTTGCATAATTGAAATAGACCTACTCAGCCATGGGCAGAATCCGCAGATCAGCTCTTTTTTTTTTTAACTTTTATTTTCAGTTCAATGGTACAAGTACAGGCTGTTTTATAGGTGAACTTGTGTTCTTGGAGTTTGTTGCACAGATTATTTAATCACCCAGGTTTTAAGCCTAGTACCCATTGGTTATTTTTCCTGATCCTCTCCCTCCTCCTACTTTCCATCTTCTGAAAGGACCCTGTGTGTGCTGTTTCCCTCTGAGTCTCTATGTGTTCTCATCATTTAGCTTCCACTTATAAGTGAGAACATGCAGTATTTGGTTTTCTGTTCCTGCATTAGTTTGCTAAGGATAATGGCTTCCAGCTCCATCCATGTCCCTGCAAAGGACATGATCTTGTTCCTTTTACTGGCTGCATAGTATTACATGGTATGTATCTATCACATTGCCTTTATCCAGTCTATCATTGATGGACATTTAA